TTTAGCACTTTTTTGCACTATCAGAAACGGAGGCAATGGAAATAAGAGTATTCAGTTGTCCTTCAGCTTAATTTCTTCTTTAAATCTAACGTACTAGTGCTCGAATTGAGACAATATAATATACCTTACACACTCTTGCACATTCAACATTAATGATTAATATACTACTACTTGAATAAAGCCAACAACTCAGACCAAGAAGGAACAAAACTTAAGTTTGACTGCTTCGTATTATTGCTTTTGCCTCAGGAATTAAAAGGTCATACTCCTAATTTACTTTCCCTGCCGTCCTATATGTATTTTGCAGCTTCCCACTTGTGGATTCATTGAATAATGAAGTTAAGATCTTATCTGCGGATGTTGGCCGGCAAAGCATCCCTAGGCCATGTTCCATTTGATCCTGCAACCTTTCAAGAACTTGGATGTTGGGACTAACCGACCACTGGTGATGCTAGTTGATGGCATAGATGTATTTTTCTTAGTATCCTGTAACACTCCTATTTTCCTATCTAGTAGCAATTTTATTTCTATTGGCCTGCAAAATAGTTGCACACATAAAAAAATAATGTAAGTTCATTAACTTTACCAGAAAATAGACTCCTCTCTTTATAGTTTATATGTATCCTTTGGAGTTCAAAATGCCCATTCATTGAGATTAATGATTATCATCACATAATGATCACTAGAATGAGCAAAAGATTAAAAATTGCAACATGTATAAGCGATAAATATAAATATGAAAATTCCTAAAATTAAGGGATAGTCCGTGATTTCGTTTGCGGCAACTACAACTTAGAGTGGGATTTTTCTAACATATATTAATTGGCGAATGAACTTACATATTGCTCTTATGTATCACGAACCAATAATACATTAATTGGCAGAAATATTGTCAACTACTGGACAAGCTGGAATTCTACCTCGGTCAACTTCAAAACACTGACAAATGCAATGGAGTACAGTATATTTTTGGCCACAAGGGTGGATTTGGGGTGAGGCTCATAATAAAAATGAGGAAGGTCATAAATTGATGCATGGTTATAGCAGGCCTGTTAAATTCTTGACACTTGGGATAAATTCTGGCGAGGATAGGCCAAGCAGTTAATGTGCGAAGTAACTTTTGTTCAGTGGAAATTTAACACCTCAACCACTTTGTCACATCAAGTCACCTGTCGAAATTCATTCAAATAATAGATGGAACAAATAATATTTTTAACATTTGAGTTTCATGAAAAGGGATGTAACCCGTGTTAAATCCGAATTCATTGAAGCTGTATTTATTTTTCAGTAAAAAATTCATGCGCTAATTGAAATATCTTAATATTCGAGTTTCTTTTTTACAAGGAAAATGCTAATTCAATTAACTTTGTCGTTAGCTAAATCCAAGATCCAAAACTGAGTCTGCATTCCTTCATTTGAGGACTAGAATCTTGCACAGTATTCTTTCCTTTCCTTTGTCGAGATGGCCCTGTTTACTCAGGAACCTCCCGTTAAAAGTTGTTGATTGCTATATTTACGTTTGTTTTCTCCTAAAACCAATTTATTTATTTTTTTTTAATAAGCAAGAGACTTTCAAAAGTTGCACTATCAGCACCAAATACAAGGGGAAAAAAAGATACTACTGGTGCAGTCAATGGCAGATAACACTCTAAAACTTCAAAATTTCCACAAATACCAATAACTCTATGCAGCTTGAATAGATTAGCTGTTCATGTCTACTACGAACAAATTTAACGAGTGCAAGTTACAAGGCTCAAGAGAAAGATTAGATCTGATCAAACTAACCTAAAAGAGATCCCAAATCTAGTAAGAACAAATGAAGTTAAAAATTCAACGAAAAAACTCTTGCTAGAAAAATTGTAATAGAATATAAATTCCCCACTAGGAGAATCCGAATAAATTCGAACTAGGAGAATTTTTGAAGAGAAAATTGTTACAAAAACAAAGACAAAAAAAAAAAATCTAGGAAGAGCAGGAGAATAGAGGTTAAGGAATTTCTTGTCTGAAGTAATTCTAGAAGGAAAATTAGGCTGGGGGAGCTCCTAAAATCAATTTGTTGTTCGCAACTTTATAATTAAAAAACCATCTGTGTCCCATCTTGTATCTAAGTGCCCAAATATTTGGTGCGCTTAGATGATATCTTTGTTAGGTTACAGAACTTTGACGCTTGGGAGGCTAACTGGGTCCCTAGGAAGGCCAATGTGCCAGCACATTTATTAGCTAGAAATGCTCGCTCTATTTCAGATATCTGTAGTTGGAGTTATTCTCCACCATCTTTTCTTCTCTCCGCAATTTCGGCGGACCTATCCTCACTTTAATGAAATTTTCTATTTTGCTATCAAAAAAAGTGCCCAAATATTTATCCTAGCTAAGGAAAGGGATAATTTCAGAAATTTCCCTTGAGGTTTCTGACAATGTCACTCAGCTCCCCCCAATTTTAGAAAACTACACTAACCTCCCTTGCTTTACTGCTGAAGAGACTGTATAGATCCATCAGGCTAGAATTATACTTAAGTATCCTAAAATACCCTTATGCAACATCATACATCAAAAGAAAGTGAAAAAAAAAGGTTTAGTGATCAATTTAACCAAAAAAAAAAGGTAACAAACATTTTTATCTAGACTTGCTATGCTTCCACGATAATTATAAACCCAAAACCTCATTAACCTGTTCAAACAAACTCCAAATTAAACCCCAAATTCCATCAATTTTGGCATCACTAAAATAAAAAATTTTACCAAAAATCGCACTCCAACTTAATCCCTAATTTCTATCAATTTCGACATCATCAAGATTCCAATCTCTACCCAAATCACTTCCTCTACAAATCAATCATAAGCACCACAACCAATTAAAATACCCTCAAAAAGCTTCTCGCCCTAAATTAACACTATATTTTGTCTATTGATTAATCTCACACCTCAAATTATGAACCCAACACCTATCGCCTATCACCTTCCTAAACAGAAAAAGACTTGGCCAACCAGTATTGATGCCTATGCCAAGCGCAACCCCATACTCCAATGGCGTTAGGAATAGATAAATTAATCTTTGTGACAAACTACCACCAATACTTGTAAATCAAACAAAAAAATGAAACCAAATGAAGATATTAGATTCTAGTGCATAACAGGCATAATAGCATAGTCCAAATTCGTCCCTTTTTCTTTTCCAACCATAACCCATTAATTTTATTTTTTTCCCCTCTATCACAACCATGTTCATCATCTCTATCTAATTTGACCATGAAATTTTCGTTTGCTCTCTCAATTTGTAATTTTGGAAATTTTGATTATTTAATGTATGCAAATTATAATACGAGAAGAAATAAACAAGAGGGGTTGATAGTTAAATACCATGGAAAGAGAGAAATAGACAAGAAATAAATACTTCGGATAGGTTTGCATGGTGGTGTAGTTGACGGGTGGAAGAGACTATGGTGTTATAAACAGGAAGGAGAAAATCATAAGAGGTTGAAAAAAAAGAAGGGAAAGAGAAAAGAAACAGCTGTTAATTAAAGTAGGGTTGGGAATGATGACGAATTGCTATCGATTTTTATTTTTCTTTTACTTTTGGTTTGGTTTTTGTGTCCGACATATGTGGTAAATTATCTATTAAATAGAGGATATTGTAGTTATTTTATTGAGTCGAGGGAGGTCAGTATAATTTTTTAAAATTGTGGGAAGCGAGTGAAATTGTCAGAAACCTCAAGGGAGGTTTCTGAAATTATCCCCTGAGGGAATGTTCAATATTGATTGTGATGTTGGGTTGAACATGTCACGTTCCAATACAATCTTCCATTGACTTTATGTTTTCATAGTCTTGCCTTTATTTCAAAGTTTTTAATGATACAATTACTTATTACAGCCACGGTGAGAAGCTTCTGCGTTGACGGAATAAACATTAACGCTTGCATCAAAAAGGTTTATGTTGCAGAGTCAAATTTTGCTTGTATACATGTATACGTAACAGACCAATTATGGTGTTGAAATACAATTGATTAACAAATTATGGGCAGCTACTGAAGCAATAATAATGTCAAATATTCCAGAAGGAGTCAGTTTCTTGCGTGGAAATTTACTTAATTCACCTCTTTGTCAAACTCAACAATTGAGGAAATAAAGCTCTACATAGAAAAGGAAAAAGTGCTTTTCTTGTGCGTATGAAAAAATCGATGTTTTAACAATATTTGGATTTCCTCAATACCTTAAGAAATAATGCACGATATAGTTGAAAAAAATGGATTTCTTGTAAGTATCTTCGTGAAAAAAAAATAGATGTTCTTACCGTATTTGGATTTCCAAGAAAACAAGAAAGAAACAATTTGCCGATGTTATCAAATAAAAAAAACATAAAAAGCATAAGATTGATGCTAAGCCCACAACCCTTGATTAATCCTATAGCAATCTTGTCAATCTTCACATACGTTAAGGGCTTTTCATATATGCGTTTCATTTATGTAATCCTATTAGGATTACTTTCTGTTTTTTTTCCTCAATAAATCAAGGACTCGGACTTCATTTGTCTTTTCTACTCATCTTTTCTTTTCTTGGACTTTCTTGGGTATGAGTGGGAATGCACAAATCAAAACTTTTGTTAGTGCTTCTTGTTTGGTCCAAGCTTGATATTAATATATTTGTGTTTCATGTGGTTCCAAGTACCCGTGAATTATTCCCTAAATCTCGGCTAATATTTAAGGAACCAATAACATGGTCCAACTGAAAGAGATTGGCTGTCTTAATCTAGGCATTTCTAACCCATAAATAAATTATTCGAGAGTAGGCATTCGGAAGTATTTATAAACTTCATAACATGTTTAGGCATAATCAACTAATCACTTTGTATATATCAATGTTGATATATATATAAAATGCAGCATATTTTAGACGCCAATAAATGTAAGTAATATACAAGGTGGTGAGATTGTGAAATGGCTCAAGCACAAGAAGTTGAGTTGAAGTATCAAATAACACAATGATTAACGCGCAGAGGTGAACCGATCAATGTATCCGCCCACTATATATCTGCTTTTGAACAAGTCACCTGGGAAGGCTCTGTTTTGTCAGGCGCTGACCAGAACAGAACTGAAATTGTCAAAGGCTTCCCTTCTCAACCTTAACTGGATCAGCGTAATAGTGTAATACCAAAAATTCAATCAATAGCGCAAATTCAGAATCCAACCTCAATCCTTCTGGATCATGAAGCTGACTCCAAGACTATATATATGACACAATCCGAAGGGAATAAAGCCCCACAGAAACAAGAAACCGTTCGCTATAACAGTTTCATCAAAAGCTCCATTTTCTATATATTGGAAAAAACAGAGAATTAGCCAGAAACAAAACAAAATGGTGTTAGCTCCCATGAAAGCTGCTAGTAGTAGCATTTTTTGCACTTGTCTTTTATTCATGATCATCAGCTTCAGCTCTAGCTATGCTAGCCCTTCATACTCCTCTGAGGCCATGAAGGGAGCTTACTACCCCTCATGGAAAGTTGCAGAATTTCCGCCATCCGCCATAGATACAACCTTATTCACTCACATCTACTACGCATTTCTCAACCCCAATGCCTCAACTTTTAAGTTCGACATAGATGCCTCAACAGCAAACCTTCTCATCGGCTTCACATCAACTCTTCACTCCAAAAATCCACCGGTCAAGACACTTCTCTCAGTTGGCGGCGGAGGCGCTGGTCCGACTACATTTTCCCGCATGGCCTCGACTCCAGCCTCTCGCAGGAGCTTCATCCTCTCCACCATAGAAGTAGCAAGGAAATACGGGTTCGATGGATTAGATCTCGACTGGGAGTTCCCTCAAAACGCACAGGAAATGAACGATTTAGGCAGCCTATTCGACGAATGGAGAGCTGAAATCGTAAAAGAATCCAAAGCAACACAGCGACCTCAGCTCTTGCTCTCCGCAGCAGTTTATTTCTCTTCAACCTTTTTCCTATCTGCAACACCGAGAACTTACCCAGTAGCTTCAATCAACAAGAACTTAGATTGGATCAATGCTATGTGCTATGATTATCATGGCTCCTGGGAACCTACAATCACAGGTTCCAATTCAGCATTATTTGACCCCAAAAGTAACATCAGTACTAGCTATGGATTAGGATCTTGGATCCAGGCAGGGATTTTGAGGAGCAAATTGGTGATGGGTTTGCCGCTTTATGGCAGAACATGGACGCTGAAGGATCCTAGCGTCCATGGCGTGGGAGCACCAGCAGTTGGTGTTGGTCCTGAGGGCGATGGTGGGAGTGGGATTTTGTTATATTACGAGGTCGAGGAGTTTAATAAAAAGAACAATGCCACAGTTGGATTTGATGTGGCTACTGCGTCTACTTATTCATTTGCAGGAACTGCATGGGTTGGATATGATGATGGTAGATCTACAGCAGCAAGGGTTGGATATGCTCAGGCTCTCAGGATTCGTGGTTACTTCTTCTGGGCTTTGAGCTTTGATCTAGACTGGAAAATATCCAGAACAGGTACATAATAGTTCTAGTTTTTTTAACTTCTTGTTATTTAATCTAAACTTCACTTAATTTTGCTCAATCACCATTAGTTTAAGTTTATGAATTATAGTGGAAAGAAATTAAGAACCTTTCTTCTTCTTAATTTTTTTATTCCATCTTTTATCAATCTTAAAATGATAGAATTTTCGTCCATAGTATATGGGAGAAGGAAATATAAATAGGAAGATTCAAGATCTATTTCATGGTATGAAGTTAGATGCAAGAGCATTAGTATTTATATTTTAGGTGGTTGATTGAAAAATAAAATCTTCCATGAGATATTTGGTCAGTATGTGTCGGACTATAATGCTTATAAAGTTTTTTGTCAATTATTAGGTCTGCACTGAGGCTGCAAAAAATAATAATACATAACAAGTCTGGTCGGCTAAGATCTGGACCAAGTCATACAGTAGTTTTTGCCTTTTTTTTTTCCCCTCACCTTGCCTTTTTTTTTTTTTTTGGTACTAAAGTTTCTTATGGAAGGGATACTTTTTATTCATCACAAAAGGACATAGACTTAAAAGTATTCAATTGTCCTGTAGCTTTCTTCTTTAAATCAAACATAATAGTGCTCGGATTGAGTCAATATTCACCAAACACTGTAGACATTCGGGATTAGAAAGATCACTAATGATTAAATACTAGTTCTAGAATAGAACCAACACCTCATATCAAAAAGGGACAAAACCTAAGTTTGACTACTTCGAATTGCTATTACTATTTCTTGGAAATTAAAATGTCATGCTCCTAATTTACTTTTCCTGCCGTCCTACATATGTGTGTTTTGCAGCTTCCGAGTTGTGGAATCGTTGAGAATGAAGTTAAGATCTCATCTGAGGATGGTGTCCAACCTAGGCCATGTTTCATTTCATCGTGACCACTGGTGATGCTAATTGATGGCATAGATCGATATATTTTTAGTAGTGTCCAGTACCAATTCTCTATTTTTCCTATCCAGTAACAGTTTTACATTTCTTGGTGTGCAAAATTGTTGCACACATAAGACAATAATGTAACTTTATTAACTTTACCAGAAAATAGACACTTCTCCTTGTAGTTTTCACATCATTCAATTTGTCCTATCAAGTTCAAAATGCGGCATTTGTCCTGCATTTTGTGTCCTGTAAAATTTGCAAGATTTTGAAGGAAAATAGTTAGTTACTAGTAAAAATTTCAATAACTGCTATTAACTGTCATTAATTTCCTATATTCTCTCAACATTTTTCTTGGAAAGCAAACATGTGTGAGAAACTTATTTTCGTTTTCCATTGCATCACATTCTTTCATTTCACTTTCCTACACAACTTTCCTTCTATTCAAATGGAAAGTAAGGAAAAGGTACTTTTAGCTAGAGGGGTATTTTCAATCGACCTTTTAGAGTACCAATCTCCGTCTAATGGATCGACCAACCTTGACCGATTACCACCACCAAAGCATTAAAATTTGGTGAGATGGGAGGCAAGATTTGATCCACCAATTTGTCACAATTAAATGTGGCTTTACTTAAAAAATCCAAGCGGATGCATAGTGCACCCGTCTGGTTTGGTAATGGTTCAGTCCCCTCTAGTTATCTTTGGACCTCTTGAGGTCCTCCCCCTCCCCTATAGTGTAAGAAACTATCGTATCGAAAAAAAAATGATCGACCAACAATTAGTTCAACGGTGCAAAGGAATCGCCAAATGGCTAGGACTGTCAATGGGGTTGGACTAGGTCAAGCCGGGCTCGTTCGGCCTGACAAAAAGCCCGAATTGCCTGACCATTTAGTGAGCTAGTCTGAGTTTGAGCCTAAAAATTAGGACCGAATTAAATATGAGCCAAGCTTGGGAGTTATTAGGTTCAAACCCGATATAGCCCCGACCATTTAATTACCTATATATATAATATTTATATTTTGATATTATGTATAATTATATATCCAAATATATTATTACTAAATACTAAATATATATATAAATTACAAAGCACAAAAATACATCTAAAAACTCTTTTATGAGTTTTCTTGAAAACCAATATTAGTAATGCATAACTAAATCTCTAACTTTTCTTATTACTTGAGTAAATTTTTGTATTGGCATAATATTGGTTGATTTCTTTTTGGTCTACAAACACATATCATCAAGCATATTTGGATTTAAATCACAAAATTATAAAAAAGTTTCAACTTTTAAAGATGTTTTGGCTTATGATCGCATGTTTTATTACTATTTTTCATGCATTTTGAATGAATTAAATATAAATATTGTTAAAAAATTTTTGGTTTATATACTTTTTAAGAACTATTATTTATTCATGTTTAGTTTTAATATTATAGTCTTGTAAATGTTAAATTAGTTTTACAACTTAATAGTTTTAGTAATTATATTAAGAAAATTAAGGAGTAATAAGTGAGTTTGGACTAATCCCGATTAAGACTCACAACCCGAATATTATGTGAGTTGAGTATCAGTTTCACATTTATGAACCCGAAACTCATAACCCGAAACCCAAAAATGTTTCAAATTAAATGAATTGAACTTGAGCTTATCAAAACTCGGTTCATTATGTCCGATTGACAGGCCTACAAATGGCTCAACTAACGAGTGCCTGATTTACTGGTTTGGCTAGTCGAGGTCGGAGGTCCCGAAGGATATAGTGTTGTCGGCAGAAGTGAATCTAATATTTCCCCTGGTGCAAATTATCAGTCGACTACCTTCCATATAATGTGTCACAAGGGACGGCGATGTTGTATTAGGCGATCAAGACAAAACTCGGACTAGTCAAGAAAACACGTTCCGCTCTTCAACCTTAAATCAAATCAAGTAGCCAATATAAAATTGGTCTCTGGATAAACACAACCGTACAAGAATATATACAAAAACAATTTAATGCAAATGCAATAACCCGAGAAATGCTTACAATTGTCACACTAACCCGATATCTTGACTGCACAAGATCGAGGGTAAAACCTCCACTACTTCTATATATGAAAGGGGAGAAACTACAGTAGAATTAGCACACAAAAAAAAGGATCATGTCTACCCTTCAATTCATCAGTATTATTTGCACTTTCCTACTGTTCTTGATCAGCTTCATCAGCACAAGTACTTCTGCTGTTGATACATACTCTTATGAGTCCATTAAGGGAGCCTATTGGCCCTCGGATAGATTTTCATATCTTCCACCATCAGCCATAGATACTACTTTGTTCACTCACGTCTACTATGCATTTCTTTTGCCTAATAATGTCACGTCTAAGTTTATGATAGACAATTCAACAGCTCTTCAGCTTGTGACCTTCACATCAACTCTCCATTCCAAGAAGCCACCGGTCAAGGCTCTTTTCTCCACGGGTGGAGGAGGCGATCTTCCATTTCAATTTTCACAGATGGCCTCAACTCCTTCTCTTCGCAGGAACTTCATCCTGTCTACCATAGAAGTTGCTCGAAAATTCGGGTTTGATGGAATTGATCTTGATTGGGAGTACCCACAAAACCCTCAAGAAATGCAGGATTACGCCATTCTGCTAGAAGAATGGAGGGCCGAGGTCATAAAGGAGTCTGAGGCAACAAATTGTCCTCAACTCTTGCTGTCTGCAGCTGTTTACTTTTCTGCCAACTTTTTCCTACATGGGCCGTTCAGAACATATCCAGTAGCTTCGATTAACAAGAATTTGGATTGGATCAATGCCATGTGCTACGACTATCATGGATCATGGGAACCTACAATTACAGGTTCCCATTCAGCACTAATTGACCCCAAAAGTAATATCAGTACCAGCTATGGTTTGGAATCCTGGATCAAGGCTGGAATCTTGAGAAGCAAATTGGTGATGGGATTGCCGCTTTATGGCAAAACTTGGACGCTAAAGGACCTTATGGATAGTGGCGTGGGAGCACCGGCGATTGATGTTGGTCCTAGTGGAGCTGGTGGAAAAGGAGTACTGTTTTATTATGAAGTGGAGGATTTCAACAAGAAGAATAATGCAACTGTTCAATTTGATTTAGGGACACTATCAACTTATTCAGTAGCTGGGAATATATGGATTGGGTACGATGATAGTAGATCGACAGCATTGAGGATTGCATTTGCTCAGGCTCTTAGGCTTCGTGGCTACTTTTTCTGGGCTCTGAGCTTTGATCGAGACTGGCAAATATCAGAAACCGGTACTTATGATTATTCTTCTTGACATTTTTACATTCGTACCTTCATTGGCTTAGATTATATTTTAAATTGTTATTATGATTTATGTAGATTTTGTATGTTGGCAAAGGATGATGATTGAAAATTTCTGTCTTTTATGAAACTGATGAGCTTCACTCACAATCTCAAGAAGTGGGCACCGGGCAGTTGGAGATTAATTTTATTATGATATATTTTCCTTTGTAGCTAGAGCATTAACTGTTAACTCGTTTTTTCATCTTTTTCCCCTCCTTATTTTTCAGTTGGAAAAAGAGGACTTTAACTATTGAACCAACTATAGTATTTTGTTGGCTAAAATACTGAGGCTAAAATACTGATCCTCATATAATAATATGAACTCCATGGATGGGACTACTAGGAAACATCTGTAGAATCTCAATGGGATCTTGTCTATGGGGATGCAAATTTCATTAGGGAGCTATTAGCTATATAGCGAATTATATGCTTTTACAATAATTGTATTTTTTTTTTTGGTGGGCACAGAAGTAATACTTTAGTGAGCAAAATACAACAATTACTACTATTGTTGCTTAGGGTACATGTTTCCCCATTTGTATTGTGGATCACGTGGTTTGTGGAAACTAGCTTTGGACAGAGAAAAAAAAAGAATTAACTTCATTTTGCATTCTCGAACTTGCATCACTTTCTCACTTTGTATTTTAAACTCTTAATTTTGAACATTTTACACCCTAATCTCTCAAAATTATCCCATTTAGGTCTAATCAATGATTATGTACTTTCACAAAATTAACGAATCAAAAGGTGGTGAAAATTAATGACAATGTATCATTTTGTTCCAACTACAATCCCTTAACCTTTTGACCAATTTTAGTTCGTTATTATTTATGTATATGGTCTCAATTATTAATATTTCTATGACACATTTTTGGGTTTTCTATGCTGTTAATTCTGCAAAAATTATCATTGACTAAAATTAAATAGGATAAACTTGAGAATTTAGGACGTAAAATGTCGAAAATAAAAAATTTATGATGTAAAGTATTCAAAATTGAAATTTAGTGTGCAAAGTAAACAAAATAACACAAATTCAAGGGTACAAAGTAGAGTTTGTCCAGAAAAAAAAAAAAATCTTTGCTAGAAAATCAGTACAATAAGTTGATTGCATTGAACTTCTTCAAGCTTTGTATACTTTCAAGAAATTTTGTAAATATTTACATCTAGAACACTTTACTTTCCTTTCCTTTTCTAAAAATGTCTTACATGTAGGACCATCAATTCTAGAGGACAATCTTCTCGTCAAAATTTACTGAACTTTTTAACAACTTCTAAAAGGTGACTGAAAATCTCACTCTGTTTAATTGTTTTATGCAGCTGCCTTTAATAAGAAGGAATTAAGGATCCTCATGAATGACACCCAAAAAAATAAAGAAAAAAAGATTAGCATTCATAAGTTTACATTTCCTCAATTTTAAGCTTTAACCTGTCGTTTTATGTTTGTAGCTTCCCGATTCTGGATTGGCTGGAAATGAAATCAAGGATCACGTGCAGATATTGTCCGGCCATGAACAATACAAACTGAAAATGGTATCTTCAAATATCATTGGCCGGATCAAGGATCATTTGCAGATAAACCTTGTCTTATTTATTTTATTCTGTCCTTTCTCCACTTTGGATTATTGTCCAAAAGTTAATTTATGAAATCAATAAAATATGGATTGTCCACGAAGGATTGTAAATATCGATTGTCCTTTCTCCATTTTTTTTTGTCTTTAATTTATACAAACCAACAATTATTTCAACCATGGGTAATTATTCACTTGACCAAATAAAAGAAACTTACGGGCGTCTTACAATTGCATTGCTTCATCATCTCCTCAATTGTCCAGCCACGGGTTTCAAAATTGTATATGGCTTCATTTGGGTTGAAAATTTTGATAAGATATTTGAAATTCACTCAAATCACTCTAGTTGTTTGAATCATTTAAGCAATATTTGAGATAGTACATTTTGAACATCAGAATAATCAATGATTTATGAGTCCAAATGCGTCCTACATAATCTAGACAATTAGAAGAATTTGAGATAATTTTAAACTTTTCGTTAAATCCTTCAATCCAAACGCAGCTTTAAATGATCTTCGCAGAAGCAATTATCGCACAAGCAGATCTACATGTGAAATTTTTATTTTCAAGTATCACGAAATAATTATTTTCAAATTAATTAGTTATCACGAAAATGATCCGTACAAATATTATTAATTAGCCTGCAGGTCAATATGAAATTTAAAAGTTAAGTGGTCAATTACTAGCGATAAGTATAGTCATGTTATTGTATACTAAAAAGAGCATCCCATTCAGTTAAAGCGATTAATAGGTTTTCTTGAAAAATAAATAAAGTGATATTCTTCCCTATGTTTTGAAAGAACTATTGATTTTTCTCAAGTGGTAGATCTAAAATATAAACACAACAAATAATACCTAAACTCAACTAGAAAACACATTATACGAAATATTACAACTCATGGGACACTAGAGAATTCTCTAGAAAACTATGCAAGAAGCTGGCAATTTTATTCTAGACGGATTGAGAGTAGTTGTTTACTTTCAACAAAGACAACTTTGCAGGACATAGGATCAATTTTCTCTCCCTTTCATGCAAATAGCTCTAAAAGATAAACAAGATATGGTAATTAATCAATAGCATACGGGCAAAAGAAAAATAATAAATAAAGACTGATGAAAAGAATTAGCGAATCCTGGCATAACACTTGAGTCCATGATGTCCGGCTAGCCTTCAAATTTCTCCATCCCAAGCCATGGAAGCTGCAACACATTTACATGCACTAGTGAGGAAAGCAAACCCTATTTGTTTTACAACAAAAGCAATTCAAAAGGGCGCTAGCTCGAAAATGGACACTCATCAATGTACAGACGGAATATAATTTTGTCATGAGGGGTCTTAGTGACAAGACCTAAACAGTAATAACACCAGGGATCCTCGGTTAATCAGTGTAAAATTATTCTTAGACACAGGAAAGATTCATTGTACTGGGTAGTGGCAAAATTTTCTAGAGAAATATCAATTTCTGGTTCCAAATCAAAATATTTGTATTTCTTGTTTATTGTTCCTGGTGCCTATATAAATCATGGCATGATTAAAACACAGGAGAAATCGAATACTTTTATTGTCTGCTCTAGAAAGAGAAAGATTACTAGTGTGGAATGTGGCAAAATTTTCTATTGATTCCTTGAGAAATATTATTTGTGGTTCCAAATCAAAATATTTTTATTTCTTGTTTATTGTTCCTGGTGCCTATATAAATCATGGCATGATTAAAGACACTGGAGAAATCCATTAACATTTTATTACCTGCTCTAGAAAGAGACCAGTTCACATCAGAACCAAGCGCCCAGAAGAAATAACCGCCAAGACCCTGAGACTTAGCAAACTTAATCTTGTTTATGATGGATGTGGCATCATCGTATCCAATCCATGTAGTTCCTGCATATGAATAAGTTGACACCGTCTCACTATCATAAACTACAGTAGCATTATTCTTCAAATTGAACTCCACTATTTCATTATATCCAATCATCCCTTGGTCCCCAGGACCGACTCCCACCGCAGGAGCTCCAATTCCATTTTGGTTGCCATCCTTCAGTGTCCAGGACCTCCCATACGCAGGCAAGCCTAGAACTAGCTTCTCTGACGGTACGCCACTCGCTTTCCACGATGAAATTCCATAGCTGGTGCTTATATTGCTGGAATTGTCATAAAGCAATGCCTGTGCGCCTGTTACTGATGTGTTCCAAAAACCGTGATAATCGTAGCACATGGGATTCAAGAAATCTAAGTACTCTAGAATTGCATATCCTGAATAAGTGCGATAAACGCCAGAATTGAAGACATTGGAAGAGAAATAAACTGCCGCTGATATAAGCAGTCGGGGTTTTCCTGAAAGAAGTGACTCCTGTTGAGCAGCTACTCGCCATTCTCTGAAGAGCAACGCAAGATTGGACATGTCTTGTTGAGTAGCTGGGTACTCCCAATCGAGATCTAAACCATCAAACCCATGTCTTCTGGCCTCATTCAAGGAGGAGATGATAAATGAAGCGCGATTGTCAAAATTACTCGCCATGTAGGAGAAAATGTTTGCGTTTGCAGCTGCACCACCAATGGAAAGAAGGACCTTCACTGAAGGAGATTTCTGGTGAAGGGTTGTCGTGAAGTTTGTCATCCATTTTTCATCGAAGGAAGAGATGTTTAAATAGCATGACGTAGGATCAATTAAAGCGAATGCGTAGAAAAAGTGGGTGAAATATGAAGTAGGTACGCTTGATGGAGGAATAATTTCTGCTTGCCATGATGGCCAGTATGCACCTTTGATGCCTGAAGAAGGTAAAGGAGATGGAGATGGAGGTGGAGAAGGAGTTGTACTACAAGGTGATGGTGGTTCTGCTTTTGGTAGCACGGGCGGTTGTGAAGCCGGCCATGGGGGTAATGAGGTGGAAGATGGAGAAGGTGATGGAGGAAGTATTCCATAGGGTGGTGATACTGGTGGTTCTGATGGAGGAAGTGAAGGAGAAGCAGAAACTGCATAGTATCCAGAAGTTAAAGGGAAAATTTGAATGTTGAAGACCATAAAGGCCAGAAGAATTGACAGGAATCTTTGCTCTGCCATTATTGGACTCTTTGCTGAGTTCCCTTTCAGACTTCTGTCTGTTGATGCAATAAATAGAGATATTACCTACATGATCAAATACTTGTTTGCTTGCTGAAAATTTCTAGGAAGAGGTTGTCCTCCTTGTATACCACAACCTTGTTTGTGTTTTACTTCGTTGTATACATATACACACACGTACGTACATTCATATACAGCACCGGTGAATAACAGAATAACATTTGTGCGAGGGATTAACGTAGGATGCCACTTCATAGATAAGTTGCCGACGCGAAATGTTTTGTGGTCCCATTTCATTGTCTTGTCTTCGCTTTTTTCCTAGGAAACAAACAAGCGCAAAATTGCGTGGTGAAGCCTTGGATTATTATAAAAACACTACTATCTAATCGGATTTATGTTGGCCTGCTTTTTTGTTGCCAAATGGAATGGAAGACCTTGTAATCATCATCACTGCCTGGTCAAGCAAGTTGTGCTGTGCCATAGCATGCATAGACGTGTCCTCTAAGTTATCAGCCAAAACAAGCTCTTTTTTTTTTTTTTTTCTAGTATCAATAGAGAAGTTCTCAAAATCAGCAGGAACTTTCATTTACACTCCTTCTTTTCTTCCGTGCCATCCAATTCATCCTTTCTCAAATATAGGCTCATTTTGTTGTTTTGCTGTTACGATCATATATAATACACTAGGTAACCTCAATAAACTGATGAGTAAAGAAAATCTCATACTTAACCTGAAGAAAAAAAAGAAGAAAGCACCAAAAAAATTTTTGTTTTGAGCAACTCCAAAAGCACTTATGGTAGATTTTTTTTCCCCCTTGTTTCATCAATTTGGGAAGAAAAATGTCTTTGGCTCAATTTGTCCTAAACTTGACCTTTGCGAAACTTTAGGAAATAAACCATAAAACAAACACCTCCATTTAGTGGTTTCCTAAACTGTTTGGTAAATAGCTTTCGTCTTTATTTGGTGATTAGTAGTAGTTTCGTTTTTCCTTAGTCGGCTCGGAAGCCATGTTTAAATTGTTTATTGTGACAAGATTAAGTCTTACTAACTTTAATTGACCCTGGCATCCAAATTTTCTATACCTGATCAATCATCATAAAACAAACACCTCCATTGCGAAATCTCCAAGTATTTGTTAGTATAAGACTAATTAAGAACTCTTTTTTTTTTTTTTTTTGGGGAAACGACTCAATGCGGTCGAGGTTTGGTACAATTAGATCCGGTTGTTATATTTTTTACATTATTTGAAATACAATTATATTATATTGTTGTATTCAAAATAAAAGTGATGTACATGAATAAGATACTTATATACTGAAAACTTGAACATGTACAACAAATGAAATAGACCAAATTAGTAGACATTTAATCAAGAATGAAATCTTATTTGAACTGTCTATATCTACATCATCATTCGGAACCATACCGCATCTCGAATCTAGTGAAGTAGGATGTCTTATACATTTCAACTGTATCTCCTTCGAAGGCGTGGTTCAGACAGGAGTCAAATTCATGGCCATTGAATGGGTACGTAGATGGGGAATTTGCGGTAGTTCGTTACATAATCATGTTTTCTAGCGGTAAAGATAATCATGGAGCGGAGGGAGGTAGAAGGCATGGCTCTCTTTTGCACTACGTCGCGTTCCAAGAATAATGCGTTTGTGAGGCGCGTTTTGTTGTGTAGCTTAGCCCTCGCGCCTTCAAGTTCTGCAAAAGGTGTTAGCTTTCAAGGGCTCGCTAATCAAGGTGATCAAACATAAGAATTGGAATCCACACAAATTTTAATAAGTTACATAGAAGAAATATTACACTAATTTAACCATAATAGTTTAAAAGAAAATTTATAGCAATAAAAGTAATATTGTCATTTTGTACGTATAGTCTCTAGATATGTATGTATACATTTGAACACAAATTATTGAAACATCTATATATTGTGCTAAATCTTTTCAATTACACCAACTTCTTGGTTAAATAGACCCTCCAAATAACAATTCAATTTCGCTGCTAAAATCAAGTTTCTTTTTTGTTGTAATTTAAAATTGTGTTTCGAGAATTCCCAAAAAAAAAAAAAAAAAAAGACTTTAGTAGCATTTAATATAAAGAAATTGTAGAAAATTCAATACACACCAACTAGCTAGTTATGGTATATACGTGTATTCATATATTAAGTTGTCTATAAGTAGGGTCGTAACAAATACTATTAATATAGTTTAACGTCTAAAATTCATGGTAAAGAACTTCTATTTTTCTATCTATACATTCCAATTATATTCATTTTATTTACGTACAATTTTTTTGTATGTGTAATATAGAGATACTTGTGCATTAATCTATACATGTATCTATGTATCCGTATATGTGGCTTCAAATTTTCACTTTGCTTATCAGACCACATGTTGAACTGATACAGATGTGACAGAAAGCTATCGTATATACCATATAAATGTGTATTATATGCTATATATTGATCTCAATGGTATATCCCGCACCTTAGCATGTTGACAAGGCGATTTTATTTAATGCAATTACATTGATAATTCTAGGTGGTGTAAAATGTTTTAATTTTTATTTCTGTAATTACATAAAAAAATAATAATTATATTGAAATACTTTGACGTGGTGAATTTGATTAATAAAGTCAGTAATCTGTGTCGCCTCATTCCAAGATAAAATATTTAAAACATATAGTCTACATCGGTATGTCTTTTAATTACTACTTATTCTCAGTTAATTTTGAAGAAACCTTAAGAAACAAGTATTCAAAATATGTTTTTTTTTCTTTTTCCATCTCCAAGGTTTTAACAGGGTACAGAAATGGAGAATCCACCTTTGTGAGTGATGCTTAGCAATAAATTGATCATTCAAACAGGAACTCAATATTGGCCAAAAAATAATATGCTGGTAATGTCAATGGCAAGATAAAACATGTACTAAATTTTAATTATGTTTCATCTGCATCCGGCTAGTCTCATTTTACCCTCATTACAACTGTCTGGATTGGGATTCTCGATGTCACTATTCAATGTCAAATCCAGTGTCAGTTCCATTTATCACGTGAGGATAAAAGAAACTTGAATTAAATCAAACCAATCTGATTTATTAAAAAAATTAAAAGATACATGACAATTTAAATAAATAGAACAGTTAGCATAAATATAAAAGTGATATTAAATTGTCACTAAAAAGTGACACCGAGGATCCCATATAAAGGAATTGTAGCCATTTTTTAACCTCTTGAAAGTTAGGGAAACGATAACAGAGGTGATCAATTGTCACTGAATATATAGGCAATGAAGATGTACCACAAAACCAAATAATAATACTCTTATCGTTTTTACAGGCTAAACATGCAAGTGCAAACACTATATCTTATGCATATACACGCATGACAAGTAAAAAGCACAGAACATATAAAGTACGAAGACTAAAAAAAGGTTAAAATCTCAAACAGGAGACAAATCAAGAGATATATATATAGAAATATCTTTTTATGGGTCATATATGAAATGCTGAAAATATGCTCCAAATTATCAACAGCATCTGGATTCTGGCCTCTGTAAAAGCATGCATCTCTCTGTCAATCATATTTGCTGTCCCATGCCATAGAAGCTGCCATAAGTAAGCATTACACATAAGTATTAAACACACGTCATAATTAATTATTCACATTTTCAAAACAAAAAAAAAAAGAAATTCTTTTGTGTTAACAAAAATGTAAAAAGGAGCAAAGGAAGTTCTTTCTACCAGCTCTGGCAAGAGTCCAGTTCTCATCATAACCAAGTGCCCAGAAGAAATATCCCCCAAGACCCTGAGCCTTGGCTAACCTGATCTTCCTTCGAATCGACCTAGGGTCATCATACCCTATCCAATTGGTTCCAGCATAAGCATAGGTTGATACTGTTTCAGGATCATAAACCACAGTGGCATTATTTTTTATGTTGAAACCCACTATATCTTTATACAACATAACCCCTTGATCTCCAGGGCCTATTCCTACTGCTGGAGCTCCAATTCCGTGATCATTTGCATCCTCCAATTCCCATGTCCTCCCATACACCGGCATTCCCATGACTAGCTTTCTTGACGGTACTCCATCTGCTTTCCATGTAGAAATTCCATAGCTGGTGCTAACGTTGCTGGATTTATCATAAAGCAATGCATGAGCACCTGTTTTTGATGTGTCCCAACCACCGTGGTAATCGAAGCACATAGGATTTACAGAGTCAACGTATTCTCTGATGGCGTCACCAGGATAAGTACGAGCAACATTGTCCAAGAACACATCAGCAGAAAAGTAAACAGCTGCTGATAGAAGAAGTCGACGTTTGCCTGAAGCTATTGAGTCATTCTCTACTGCTGAACGCCATTCTTGGAAAAGGGATGCCAGGTTTATCATGTCTTGCTGGTTAGATGGAAATTCCCAATCGAGATCTAAACCATCAAATCCATACTGTCTAGCTACAGAAATGGTGGAGTGAATGAATGTGGCACGGCTGTTTTGATTGCTCACCATGTTGGAGAAAAGGGAAGTATTTGTTGCTCCACCACCTATACATAAGAAGGCCTTTGCTGGTGGATTTCTTGTGTGAATTGTGGCTGTGAAGTTTCCCATCCATTGTTCATCAAATTCAGTGACTGAAAGCTGGTAATTCTCTGCATCAAACTGGACAAAGGCATATATGAGGCGATTGAAGTATGGAGTTGGTATAGCTGATGGAGGGAGATTTTCTGCCAACCAGGAAGGCCAATATGCACCTTTGACCCCAGAATATCGAGATGCATTAGACTCCGAAGTTTCCAAACCAATCAAGACAAAAATAAACAAAAGCAACGCGAGTTTTAGAGTGGCCATTGTAAGGTATATTGCTCGTTCAACTTTCCAGTGGCTGACAATACTATCACTAAACAGTGTATTTATACTTGTCGTCAGGAAATAAAGATACAAATACATGTCGACGTCAATCTTTCTATGAAATTCTATTAGCATGACGTTAATGGCACGGACGGTAGACTTATTGCCATGTTATGCTAATGCAGGCATACAATTCAGAATAACTCCTGAAGATGGACAGGTGAATACATCCCGACGATCTGTGAAGGCTATTTGGGATCCCTGTTGTGAGCAGTTACCTGTCTGGACAAAGACAAGATGACATTGGTTCCAATCTGATGTCCTAATCAAGATTGTTGGATCCATAAGCCTACCCTCATTCCAAATTAGGCACCGGTTCCAACCAAAATTTCAGCCAAACAT